GCCGGGCTGTGTCCCGGCACGCGGCGGGAGGAGGGAGGATGCTCCCGCACATGGCACGGGGCGGCATTACTGAGCGTTAAAGTCCTCCCCGCACAAACCAGGCTGTGATTCTAGAAAGCTACACAGCCTTCTCGCCCTTTCCTAGACTGACGGGATGTTAAGGGGTGGAAATGCACATCAGTTGGCTGGTTAAACAGATTAGACGTGTGTAGTGGTAGGACAAGGCGTAACAGTTTCAATTTGAAAGAGGGGAAATTTAGGTTACGTATCGGGAGGTTTTTCCCTGTGAGGGTGGTGAGACACTGTCCCAGGTTGCCCAGGAGGCTGTGGCTGCCCCAACCCTGGCAGTGTTCACAGCCAGGTTGGCTAAAGCCTTGAGCAACCTGCTCTGGTGGGAGGTGTCCCTGCCCAGGGCAGGGGGTTGGGGCTGGATGATCTCTAAGCTCCATTCCAACCCCTTAACACACTATGAAACTAAACATTTCCCAGTACTAATCACAATATCCTGTCCTTTCTTCCTCCTGATTCCAGCTGGGATGCTGCGTATGAAAGAGAACTGCAAACTTTTGAAGACATCGGAGATACCGGGGAAATCTGGTAAATAAAATAACTCCACCAGAGTGTTTCTGTTGCTTCTTTATCAAGACAGACATTGCAAAAACACAGCCAGCAATGCAGTGGGTTACTGACAGAATGATGGGGAGTTTTAGTCTTGAAGCCAGCAGTTCCTCTCTTGCCCAATTTTGCAGTGCAGACTTCTCAGCTGCACTTGGACAACTCTCAATACGTAGAAACTGAGCTGGTAGTTGAGGTCTGTGTTACTAACAGATTTGTGTTTTGGCCCTGAGCTCAGGTGTAGCTACACAAGTTGCCCTTTGCTGCTACCTATTTTAATATATGGATGGTTTCACCTCCCAGTTGGTGAATTTTAAGGCCATGTGATTACTTTTCATTTGAACAGAGCAAACATGGAATATGATCTATGGCAATTGTTACTTCAGTCACAGTAAGAGGAGCTTTGCAAAAGCTGGAGAGAGTGCTGAAATAAATTTGCTGTACCTTTTGTACTTTCTGGTTTTTGCTGTTTTAATGACCTGAGCCCTTGTTTTGCACAGGTTTGGAGAAGAAAGCATGGTGCGCATCATCAGGTGGTTGGAAAGACACAAAGTCCCCCTTGACAGCTCTGTGCTTGACATTGGAACTGGGAATGGTGTTCTGCTGGTGGAATTGGTTGGTATATTGCACAGTTTGTGTATTTTTCATGCAGAGTCAGAGCTCCAAGTGGAGCAGTTTAAGTACAGCTCTCAAAGGTGATAGTAGTAATCATGGCCATGGTGAGCTGTAACCTGTGTGAAGGACAAAAGTATTGCAGGTTTCAAAATTTGTAGTATTTAATTATATTAGTCAGCCTGATCATCCCTTATTTTAACTTTACCTTTCTGTTTCCCTGCATTTATAACTGCATTTCTGCCCATTGTTGTGCAATCACCCCCAGATAAGGGAATTAAGTTGCCTAATACACACAGAACCCTGATGTGTAAAACCAGGCCCTTTCTCTGTGCTCAGTTCTGATAATAACACTAGTTATTGGTGTAAAAAAGTGGGTAAACCCAAAGACTTTTACCTAAAAGACTTACAAAGTAAGTAACACTTCTTTTCAAGTAGTGTCCCTTTCTGTTAGGGTGGAAACCGTAGTGTTATGATGTTGTTGTTACACAGTCATACAAGATGTTTAGGAGTTCCGGTGTTTTTTTCTATTTTTCGTTGATTTTTAGTTGATTTTTTTTTGGTGTAACACTTCAGGGTAGTTGGTTAAAGAAAGGGGCTGTCATACTGTCACAGCTTCTATTCTGCATCCTACATTGGCTCCATGAGTTACTATAGGAACTGAAGGTTCTGGAAGTCAAAGTCAGGTTTATGATGGAATTTTTTTAACATGGACTCTGATTTTAGCCTCTATGGGGACTGGCTGCTACACCACAGCACAGGAGAAGTTTTATCATCAAAAGCAGAAATTGTTCTTCCCATTAAGAGAAATTAGCCTCATAATAATGATTGTTAAATGCAATCTTAGCTAGCTCTATCATCATTGAAATCACCAACAGAAAAACCTCATTCCTAAGCCTTCAGTTTTATACTGACCCCACTTACAAATGGGACAATGATTTTCATATTGTAATGGGAAAATGACAGCCTGTTAGCTTTTAAACACTATTAAACTGAGCACCCTCCTCCCCTGCATTAAGCACCTCAGAGTGCTGTGGTTGCTTTCATAGGAAATTTTCACTCCAGTTCCCATTTGAAAAGTGACTTCAGGAACTGCACTGTTTATTTGTGCTAAATAATTCAGGATCTCACTTGCTTAGTTGAGGTAAAAGAAATGTTTGTGTGTGTTAGCTTTGAGAATCAAGTTGGGATTCTTTCTGGCAAGCACAGCAGTTCCCACAGGGCTGTTCCACCACTTGAGTTGGACTCTGTAATGGGACAGAAATGGCAAAACTGGGAAAGACTCAGTCAGAGAGGACATTAGTAGCACATCTCTAAAAGGGAATCACTTGAGGGTATATAAGTACCACATAAGTGGGATCCTTTGCTGTTTCTATGGGTGCAGTAGACTGTGGTCCTGCCCATGTGAACTTCAAGGATCTGGTGGACTAGATGGATGACATAATTCCTTTGCCTTCCAAAAAATTCCAGCTCTTCTGAGGAAATGTTGCTGCCACATAAAGCTCTGACCTTCTCTTGTTTTTGTGAGCACTGTGGGAGCCAACAATACTGAAAACCTTCTCTGAAGGGAAGGGTGTTCACCCACGTGAGGGTGTCTGGCACCCAAGCACAGGACAGAGCTGACAACATTGCAAACCACCTCCTGCTCTCTAATCTGCTGCTTCAAGAAGCAGCATCAGAGTGCTATAAATACCACCCTGAGGGCAGGAGTCCAGCTGCAGGATGCAGTGTGGTCACGTTTGGCACTTGGGTGAAGGATCCTGTCGTAGTCAGGCTGTACAGGTTTAGCAGCATTTAATGTTGTTTATCTTTAAACTCTCCTTCTCTGCCCTGGAGACTATAGGAGTGAATGGGAACTCCCTGAAGTGACTCAAGCCCTTCCTTTCCAAACAGAGGAGCTGTTGTGGGAACTACTCTTCCACCCTCAAGTCTTCAGCACAGGCATCTGAGGGAGCCTTGCTTTGCTCTGGGGAGGAACGTGGGCAGAAGCCTGAGCAATACACTGTTCTTCATCCCATGCAAACAACACAGTCTTTGTGTTTAGCTGAAATTAGCCCTCAATTCACAACAGCTGGCTAGCACTGAGCTCACACAGCTTGAGGGGCTGCTGGAAGGAGGAAGGATTGTTGTAAAAATCCTCCTAGTTTTCCTTGCTGTTGAGGTATCAGCCTTTGGAACAATTAGACATGCAGCTGATTGCTTCATGCTAGTCCATGTGTTTTTCAAAACCCAACCAAACCAAACCCAGGCCTCCTCCCTGTGTCTGCTGTGACAGCCTGCAGCTGGCCACAAGCTCAGAGCTCAGCCTCTTGGGTTTGGATCTCTCCAGACCAGCTGACACATGTGATACTCCGAGCTGGTTGCTTCAGCTTCTACCTCAGAATATCTTAAGGGGTTGGAATGGACCTTAGAGCTCATCCAGCCCCAACCCCTGCCCCGGGCAGGGACACCTCCCACCAGAGCAGGTTGCTCAAGGCTTTAGCCAACCTGGCTGTGAACACTGCCAGGGTTGGGGCAGCTACAGCCTCCCTGGGCAACCTGTGCCAGTGTCTCACCACCCTCAAATTAAAAAACTTCCTGGTATCTAATCTAAATTTCCCTCTTTCAATTTCTCCTCATTACTCCTTGTGAAAAGTGAAGAGAAGGAGTGAAGCTGTGTCTCTGCTCCCCTCCCACATTCCCAGCCTCAGCTGATGCAAGGAGCCCACCTGCTTTGCCAAAGGGTTGCTGGGATCTCACTGCCTGACTTGGCTGGCTTAGGTTATCCTTATCTCCTCCAAACTTAGATTAACAAACTCTCTGTATGCTCTTTTATGTGATGCCTAACCTGCCTGAAAATTGCTGATACAGGGACCTTGCAGCATGCAAATAACTCTATTCAAATAGACATTAGCATGAATAATTAGAAAAATGTATGATTCTGCAGTGGATTTCTGTGCTAGGACAATGTATTGCATATCTTGGCTCTTACAGTTTGGGTTATAAACCAAATAATTGCTCAATCTCAAATGTTCTGTATCAGGGAGGGGTTTTTTTTTTCCTTACTTTGAAGCATCTGGCACTGTCACATGTTCTCATCACTGAAAATTCCTGGTTTCTAGGTTACTTTTGGTGCAGATAAGAGAGGCTGTTCCCCTCCAGGGTGTTACTTTTCACAGTTCTGCTCGGTTTTCCACTTGACACAGACCAGCTTTCAGTCAGCAGTTCTTTTGAGGAGGTATTTAGGCAGAATGGAGTTATTTCAGCTCATTCCCTGAGCTGTTTAGCTCTTGCAATGGTAACAGGTATAAAAATGAGTAAAAGGTGGGTTGGTTGGGGTTGGTTTTTTCTGTCATTAAGAGGAGGAGAGGTGAAATAGATTATAGATAGGGAATGTACTGGTTGGATAAAAAGATTCCTAGCACACTGATTAAGATTCTCTGCTTCTGTCTAGGCAAAGTCTGGCTACATGAATCTCACTGGGATTGATTACTCTCCTTCTGCAATACAACTGTCAGAGAGAGTGAGGGAGAAAGAAGGGATGTCTAACATTAAACTAAAGGTAAGTCTTGAGAGTAAGTTTATTGAGGAAGTAGAAAGCAGCTGGAACCCAAGACTGAATGAGCTAATTGATATTCAGATGTATTCAGTGTACCAAGTGAATGATGTCTTTTGACATTCATTTGTGAGAGAACTCTAACCAGATAAATCTCTGTTTGCAGGAAGATTTTGGGTCAAATCAAGACAGGCAGTAGGGCTAAGATTTACCTGTGTGGAGCAGCGAGCAGAATAGTGGTTCTCATTCTTTGGAGAGTTCTCTATTTTAGCTGCAACATTCTGAATTTCAGATTTGAGAGAGAGGAAGAAATCCTTAAGTGACAGAATCCTTACCAGTAGTTGTGCAGCAGCAAAAGTTTGAGAGGCCTTGCTGGAGCAGGGGCAGGACCAGAAGACCTCCAAAGGTTCCTCCCAGCCTCAGCCATCCTGTGATTCAGCCAGTCATTCTGAGCTCTGTCTGCTGTGCTGTTCTATCTCCAGCTCTGTACCTGTGTGATGTCTCTGTTCTTGTGTGTCAGCTGTAAAATCTCTTCATGGCAGGCACTGCCTGTTCTGCTCTATTTTTGCTGTGCCTGGCAGGGATCAAAGTACAAATAATGATTTAAAGAATGAACTTCAGGCATGTTAGTTTGAACTTTAGATTACAGCAAATAGATCATCACATAGTACATAGAGAAGAAAGAAGCTGCCATGGCATTGTAAGTGTGAAAAGCCTGTGAGTTACCCTCTCCTGAGCACAGGTTTGAAACGTTGCCTTTTAAAGTCTTGCTTTGCATTCAAGATTGAATAGCTCCTGAATAGCTTGTTTTCACAGCTGTAGACTTCTGGTTTAGGTAGAAGACTTCCTGGCTCCATCAGCTGAGCTGTCAGGCTTTGACATCTGTATTGACAAGGGCACCTTGGATGCCATCAGCCTGGATCCCGACGACGCCGTGGGGAAGCGGAAGCAGTACGTGAGGTCCCTGAGCTCTGTGTTGAAACCAGAGGGCTTTTTCCTCATCACATCTTGCAACTGGACCAAGGAGGAGTTGCTGAGCGAGTTCGGGGAAGGTAAGCAGCTGAACAGAGCCCTCTGCCAACCTGGGGTTGTTGAAGGATGGGGTGAGTGAATTTTAATGCCTGTGTTAGCATATTGACTTTCCCAGATCAGGATTAGAGAGGGTAAAGCGATTAGTAAATGCTTCAGCCTTTCTTTTCCTTGGGAATTACAGCTCCTGTGCTTGCCACTGCCAAGGTGCTAAGGGAGGGCAGGGTTTGTTGCACTGTGGAGGTTGGGGATTTCAGGCTAGTTACACTGGGAAAGTGAGTACCTGGGTAATACTTCCTCTCTTCGGGTCCTTTATTACCAGACCCAGTTCACCCTTCTGCTTACTTTGACATTGCAGTAACATTGCTATCCATGTTCAGGGGAACTGGCAGGTCTTTCATATCACCTGCATCAGCTGCTTTTCTGATCAATCTAGAAGTTTTTTCACATGCCAGTCAGCTCCCAAATCTCATGCCTGGAGCTTGAAACTCAGTGTGGATCCGAAACAACTGTCCCTTCTGGGGAACTGAAATTACTGGCAAGTTCTCATCTGTCCTGTCATTAGTTTGTGTGAGTCAGCCAGCTAAGACTTTTATTGTCCATGGAACACGTTCAGCTGTACAAAGCAGTGGTGCAGTGTAACAGCACAGCCCTATAAACTCACAGAGTAACTGACTTGCAGGTTTTCCAGACGAATAAAGAATGGTTTGCAAAGGGTTATCCAAGAGGCGAATAATATGACTTCCTTCTAATAAAAGCATTTTAATTTCTGTCTGGCAGGGTTTGAAATTCTGGAGGAGCTGCCAACACCCAAGTTTTGCTTTGGAGGAAGAATTGGAAACAGTGTCACAGCATTAGTTTTCCAAAGGAAAAAAGCAAAGCCATCCATCTTGGACAAATTAGATTAGATGAGAAAAGGCTGAACTTTAAACCTGACAGAAAACCTCAGACACATGTGTAAATAAATGCTTTTTTGAGTGCACAGTGAAATACTATGTATGGAACTCCAAGGGGCTATAAAACATTGCCCTAGAAACATTTCAGCTTTGCATAACTTGCCCGTAAATTTTGTCCTTGCTGCAACCCCACTTGTTTTAGGAGGAGCTGCAGGTTTGTGAGTGAGAGGGAAATAAGACATTCTACATACAGACTCCAATATAAAGGAGTGTGTTTGAAGCATAAAGACCTGGTATTTAATTTCTGTGTTGGCAATCAGTGACCAACGGAGGTAAAGGTATTCTGCAATACAAAACTCTCATTTCTCTGTTGTGCAGAGGAACAGGGAACAAACTTTAGCAATGGAAGTGCTGGATCTTCAATCTTTTTCTTAGCTGAACATGAATGTAGCTGTTAAGGAGGGAAATTAATGTAAAATCCACAGCACTTGCCAAAAAGGAGCAGTTAGTGAGTTAAATTCAGAGTTTCAGAGGTTCTGAGACTCAACAGAGTTGTGTCTGTTCAGCTGGAGGAGACTGAGAGGAGACCTCATGGCTGTATGGGGAAGCGGAGAAGCAGCACAGATCTCTTCTCTCTGGCAGCCAGTGACAGGACACAAGGAATGGTCTGAAGTTGTGTCAGGGGAGGGTTAGGTTGGATATCAGGAGAAGGTTCTTCCCGAGGTGTTTGGGCACTGAACAGCTCCCTAGGGCAGTGGGCACAGCCCCAAGCCTGACAGAGCTCTAGGAGTGTTTGGACAACACTCCTAGGCACAGGGTGGACTGTTGGGGTGTCTGTGCAAGAACAGGAGTTGGAGTGATGATCCTTGTGGGTCCCTTCCAACTCTGATTATTCTGTGATTCTGTGTCCCTACTGAAGTAGCTCAACTTTTCTCCACAGAGGGATCTTTTCTAAACATCTCCCATGCCTGAGTGTGTTGGTGCCTGGTCAGTTATTTTCCCCTGCTCTCATAAATACATACAGGTGTGATGTTACAGTCTCACTGGCATGTGACATGTGCCTCCTTCATTATTAATTTGCTATATAATAATGCCTTAAGAGCCTGAATGACCATGTTTGCCAGTGAATTTCTCAGGGCTGATTTCAGCTGTGTAAATGCAGAAGAATTCAAAGTATAACTATCCATTCCTGGGTTTTTTGCCCTGTATTTCTTTTAAACTTCTGTGTGTGATCCTTTCCCTTAATTTTTTTGCCTTTATTTCTTCTGTTGTTTTGCATTCTCCCAATGCTGCTGTTGCTTGAAAGGCAGGAAAATGAGATTTCTTCATGCCTTGACAAATGCATTTGCAGGTGACAATAAACTTGTTCTTTCAGACATCCAGGAGGTCCTATTAGGCAATCAGCTTTTGTTTCACAGGCAAGGTCATGCTTGCTTATCAGGGAATTGCTTCTCCTGGTTTCCACACTTCTCCCAGTTCCCAGGGTTCAGGAGATCTTTAAGGGTCAATAAATACTTCTAGTCCTTTCCCAGGAGAGGTATTAAGGCATTATTTGCACAGGGCTGAGTCCTCCCTCTGTGATCCATCTGGTAGGAATCCTACATCTTTTTGCCAAATGGGATAGATTCATTGGAAAAATGGTTTGTCAGCAGTGGGGAATAAGTTTTGTCCCAGTGAGTAGCTCTTTGCATATTTGGTCAGACTTGGGTGCCTAACTTGAGTGCCAAAACCAAAGTCTTGTTCCCAAGTGGGCAACTATTGTAGTCCTGTGTGCTGCCTCTGCCCAGGAGCCAACTGGAATGATAGGGAATGTAACTGGGAATCCAGACAGAGATTTTTGTGATGGAGCAGTACAAAGGATTCGAAGTACACTACTGATAACAGCCTCAATAAAAAGACTGAGGCATTTCTGTAGCTGATTTGGCATCAGGTGGAGTTAATACAAGGAAATTTTAATTGCCAAGGATGTGTTTAGGGCATCTGCTTTATTCCCATCAGTAATTTTTGCTAATGAAGGCATGGTATGTATTTAATCATGGAATCATTTAATCACTTACCTGGAATTTAACCATTGATTCCCACTCCATAATATTTGTAAGATTCAGGGCTAGTATTGCTTACTCATCTTCATAAGATTGATTATTTTTAGTGTTTGTTCTCTAGTTAATATTGTTATATAATTTCTAAAGCTAAAAATAAGCTTCCTAAAATTGCCTGAAACTAAGGATTTCTGCGTATGCTCTGTAGTTTGCATATTCCTTCACAGACCTAAACACCTTCACATAACACTGGAGAGCAGAAAAATGCTTGTAAAACATGTTTTATGAGCTTTATTTTATGGCAACAACAACCAAAGGCTTATTTAATTAACCAAAATCGTATTAACTATTACTTAATCAACCAAAGTTTTAAAACCTGCTCTGTTGGAAACCTTATATTTTATGGATAATGGAGCAGCTCTCACTTAATGGGTTTACATGACTACTAGGATTTGGAAATGACACGTTGATTTGGGCAGTTCATCCTGCTAGGTGGTTCTTGATGGAAGTGTCAGGTCTCAATGTTCATGTATGTCAGTGAAAAACCTGTTAGCAAAAGAGGCAGAGGAATCAGCATAAGGATTTAGGAGGAGTGAGTCTTTGCTGGCAGTTTGGTGACTTCTTCATGGTGGTGCCTGAAGGTTGGAATCTTCCTGACTGCACATTTGTGTGACTCTTGGTTTCAGCCAAGACTTTACAGACCACAGGAGAATAAATACAGCACTTGAAACACGTTTTACTCCTATTGTTTCGCTGTCTGAAAACTCTAGCTATGATTTCACAGTCAAATGTGAGGTTTGTGGGTAGTAAAATCAACATCTTCCATGGATCTCAGAGGTGGTTGAGCCCATAGGCTTTTCCTGCAGGACTGAGTTTAGGCTGGATGATGCTGTGGAGTTGGCAAACCTTTCTGGTTGTAGTTTTGCATAAAATGAAGGCAGAACAGACAGGGTTTTTGTTCCCTTGTTCACTGACAGCATGCTGAAGGGTGAAAAGCTCTCAGCCTTTTATTCCAGGAAGGTGGAGAATGGCTCTTAGTGCATAAACCCAAGCAAAGCACCTCCACCAGCACCTGTGCTTGGTGCAGCTCAGACACCCAGTACCTGACTCCTGATAGCTCCTACTGCCAGGCAAACTGTGTTTAGGGATTCTCTTTGGAGGCATTTACTGGGAGAGGCTGTTGTATTATGAGGCTTGTATTGCTGAAGGAAGATTGGAGTGTTTTACCCTGGAATTTTATGGGGTGTAGCACAGAAGTGAACTGTCAGGATGAAATACCTGAAGGAGGAGACCAAGTGATATTGATGAAATAATTATTGATTTGAGATGTCTGATCTAGGAGAGTTTCTACACATGGGACTCTGCAAGAGGGTGAGGTAAGTGTGTTCTCAAGACAAAAAGTCTTTGCTCTTTCAGCATCGCATTATTTTCTGAAAGTAAATAGTCCTTATAATCATGTTGATGTAAATTAAAAAGTGAGAAACACCAGACATGAAATTCATGACACAAGTGAATGAACACAGAAAATGCAGAGGGAAGGTTAATGTTCCCTTACTCCTTGACTTCCCTTTTCGTGACTCTCATGAGAGAATATGTTCATTTAATGGTCCTTAAGGAGGATGAATAGTTATAGAATGGTTTGGGTTGGAAGGACCTTAAAGATCATCCAGTTCCAACCCCTGTCATGGGCAGGGACACCTTCCACTAGCCCAGGTTGCTCCAAGCCCCATCCAGCCTGGCCTGCAGTACTGTTTATTAAATAGTTTTTTTTTCTGGAAGGCTTAGAAGATATGGAATTAATATTCTGTTCTTGAAATTCATTGCAATTCTGTGGTGCAACATGAAGAATTTCTGTGAGCTATGATTTTTTTAAGAGCTGTTGGGTTACATCAGAAACACCAGCAGAATTGTGGCAGCTGCTTTTGCAGACAGGGCCAGCAGTGATGAAGAATGTAATTACAGGCTCTCTGTCCCATCAGGACAATACTTCTTCAGATCATTATTGAGAACATCAGGTGGAAATAACTGTTTGCATTATGGGCTCACCTTCTTGAATTCAAATCCAGTGTGGCAACACCATTTCTGAAACCCAAGAATTGTATCATAGCACTTGGGGTATTTAACAACTCTTACCTTTGTATTTTTCTAGACAATTTTAAAAAGGAGCTTTCAGATATTTGGAGTTTTAATCCTGGTGTTGCTGTTTTACAGGACAGCTTGTTGTACCTGAGTGAAGAAATGCATGTCCCACCACACATGTCTCAGGGGTGAGTCCCTGGAGAACACATAATGTTCTCTCATATCATCTGTATTGAAACCATTTCAGTTCTGCACAGGTTTCTAGTGCAGGCTGTGAAATCAAAGGGTCTGAATGGTCAAACAAGGGGATGAACTGGAACAGCTCCCCAGGGAAGTTGTCACAGCACCAAGCTTGGCAGAGGTCAAGAGGTGTTTGGCCAATGCTCTCAGGCACAGGGTGTGATTATCAGGGATGTCCTGTGCAGGGCCAGGAGTTGGATTAGATGATCCTCAAGGGTCCCTTCCAATTGTGATTATCCTGTGAAGTCCCTCACTTAGAACCCCTGGGCTTTGTACCCAGCTGTGCAGGGCAAAGCCAGCGGTGCAAGGCAGATAGATGAAGTCACAAAGCTGATCTGACACAGCTTCTTTGGAGTTATTTTTATGTCAGGGTGAGTGCTTGAATAGCTTTTGCTGGTACATCAGGCACAGCATGGTTTTCTCCATGGCTGACACTGGCTGCCATGTATTTCCACATTCCAGGAATGCACTGGCAGCACTGTGGCCATTGTAAGGAAAATCTGCATACACAGAACTCTGCTATGTCCTTTCTGCTGTGTTTCAGGGTGCCTGGTGTAAGACTGCCAGATTTTATGTTAGTTCATACCAGACAAAAACTTTAAGTATGGTATTTAGCAACACACAGCAAAATTTCCAGTGTTTTGGCACTGGGATTGCTTTCCTGATCTTGGCATGCTGAAAGGTAAAGAACACAACTTGCTACAACAATCACTGCTTTATTTTATAGCCCCTCCAAGCATTTTAATGTATCAAATCATCTGCTGTAAAATATGTGGTGAGCACATAGGAAATAATTGGCTTTGCATTCCCATTGCTCACTGCCTTTTCTGGGATAAGAGGAGGGGGAGAGTGTCCTGTGCAGTGTTACCTGCTCTGGGGCTGAATGGGTGGTACAGACACCTGTGGAGGGGATGGCTCTGTCCTCTACCTTGGCTGGAATGAATTGAGCATGACCTAACCCTTGTGGGTAGCAGCAAAATTGAGGAGCAAT